GAAAAACCGGGCGGATCTTTACCTTTTTCGAAATTCACTTAACACCTTTTTTTTCTTCCTAAAGTTTTGTTGGAGTTGCCCCCCCCCCCCCCTCCCCACAACAATGCTACATTGAGACATGCAATCCATTAAAACACTGTTTTTATTAATTAATCAATTGTTCTGTTGAATTTGGAGACATGTGGAATTGGTTTTTTATAGCAAAAGTGATATTTTAACAGATTTCATTTTTCACTTTATCCCTGTCACACCCTCAACGTTATATATTAGTACGAAAATAAAAGTGCCTAGAAGACTTTGATAAGTATATGAAATCAACTGAGTTTTTCATACTCATTTCACATATATAATTTTTTTTGTCAAAACTCGGTTTAGTCTCAATTAATCTAAAAAGTATGATTTTTTTATGTGCCGCTCGACCATAACGGCACGCATTAGATGTCTTGATTCAACCTGATATCAAATGTTATTTTGTAGTTCTTTCTTTGCTCTATCAAATAGTGCATAAGAGAAAGCGATTTGCATGAAAAATAAATTCAAGCGTGTCAAATTAATGTTCAATGACAGAATAGAGACATGATTTTTTACAAATGATTTTTCTTTCAAAGTGACCTTCAATATCTAAAATTTTACTCGAATTCTACACTAAATAAACTCGTATAGCTTTTCTATGTCGAATTACTAGTGGACTATCTATGAAAAGTTAATAGTCTACATCCCAATGCTTATATGCCTTCGTTTTCTACTTACTAAAATAAATGCTTGTTGTTGATTATTAAATTGTAAATAAACAGGTGTTGAAATATTTTCTTGTCCATAAATAAGTATTGGCTTCCAATTGAAAACATCTTCACTAAACATTAAATTTAATTTCCATGATGATTCTAAAACAGCTGTATGTTCAAATGAAAGAACAGCTGGTTTAAGTAATGTTATTTCTGATGGACCAATTAATATAACAGGTGATAAACGTGTTTGTCCATTATTTAACATAGGCATATGATTTTCAACATTAATTAATGCAATAAATATTAAATGATCATCATCAAGTAAAACAGCATTTTCAGGAATTATTAATGATACACCTGTATTTGGAATTTCTAACCGACAACCTTTATTATTAAGTATTGATACAGCAAAATAACGTAGATCAGTATGTGCTGGTAATGATTGAAGAATATTTTCATAGATTATATTTAAATGATTTTCATTTGATATTGTTTGACTTGCTAATGATGGATATTTAATATGATTTGATGCATAACTTGTTGTACTTAATGCTATTGGATGATTAGATGATTTAACTGAATAAATTTGTTTATTTAATGGTGATTCATTTAATAAAAGTAATTTTTCTTTTTCTAATCCCGAATCAAAATTTGTTAATGAAACTGAATTATTTTGTGATACACATGATCTTGTTGACGTTGTATCTTGTTGAATTGAATAATAAAATGGATATTCAGTTTTATCACTATGATAAACACCTAGATGACTACTACCATTACTACTTACACCTTTTGATGTTATACAAGTTGATAAGCCTAATAAGAAGAAAAAATAATTAAAACAAAAAAACTTTTTATTTCTTTTCCTCAAAAAAAAAACAAGAATATCGTTATCAAGTAATAATGAGAATGTTTAAATGTTAATTTAGCTTATTATGTATTTAATAATTTAATTTGGTAATGAAATTTATATTGAAAAAGGAAGAATATCCGTGCCCTTCAGCTGCTTCACAATACGAAGTGTTGTCTATCGACAGATTCAATAACCCGATATCTTCTCTACAACAATGACACTAGCTGTGGGAAGAAGGTCGGCCTGACACAAAGTTTTTACGCTCAATTGCTTGAGCTCCTCATACACACTAACTAACCAAAAGAGCAGGTGTATGCCACAACATAGTCAACATGTTATCGGGCAGGTGATCCAAGACAAACAGTCATTAGTGACTTGCCCAAGGTCATTTCATGACTGGTGATATCGAGGTTTGAGTGCAGTGATTTGCAGATACATGGCGAACAACGTAGTCATCAGCCATGGCAACTATTTCTATTGAATTCAAGATAATTGACTAAGGAATTCTGGCAACAAGGTCATCTGTAGCCAAATCATAGATAAATTTTGGATTATAAAAATGTTATAAAAACAACCTTACAGAGTAAATCACAATAGAAAGGTTATACTGCATATTGAATTCTCTTTAACTCTTATATTCTATGCAGAATATACATATCAACTATTGTATGACACAATATCATCATTTTATTTTATTTTATTAATCAATAATGTCGGATATGGCACTAATTTTAGAATCAATATTTTATAACCTTGTGAAGTTTTAAATCGTCCCTTTGGAAGAGATAATCTAAATAAAATACTGTTTAGAACTACAAGTGAATTTTTATTTGAACCTATGACTCAACTTGAAATTAATGGTTGACTTGTATATTATTTTTCACTATAATCCCATATTCTGTTAATACATCATTAACTTTAAGAGTATCGTATTAACATAAAAATGTCATCAACTGTCTGGCGCAAGATTTTATTTGAACTCACTCAACGAATTTCTACTTGCACTGAAGATTTGCATACCTTCCATGAATCACAAAAAGTTCAATTTTACCCTATAGAAATAATAAAAACTTTTGAAATATTTTATGATTTCTACAAAAATTTATTTTAACATATTCTTATTTCAAAGTTTCCATGCAGACTGTATCTGTAATTATACATTAATAGATGCTATTGATGTTTTTTTTCAAAAGACTATCATTTTTTTTTATTGTTTTGCCTTGACTTTTATCGAGCGTAAAAAAAAGAGAGATAAGACTATTTAGATTAAAAAACGATCAAGATAAGATTCTAGTTGAATTTCTTTCATTATTTTGAATATGTAGACATTGATTATTTTCTCCTCGATTGATTATTCTCATTAAATATGACAAAGAGAAGAACAAAAAAAAAAAAAAGAAAAGAATCATCAAAATTCTTTTCAACAATTGTTAACGTATTGAGCAAATTAATACACATGGTGCAGATGATAAGCGTTCCTCCCATTTTCTTTCCTTATTCTTCTCTTTTCATGCATTCATTCTCAGTTCGTTAATCTATCGAGTGGCCCGGCTGACTGACCGCCGGCACAATCACATACGCACACTACAATTATCTCTGCGGTGTTCTTCTGTCCACACACACACGCACAGATTGCTATCTGTCAGTTTGATCTCAATTTCATTGTTTTATTCAAACAATAAGTATGCATAGCATAAAAAAACCTCTTTTCAAGCAATTTGCACTTTTGCCGCTTTATGACTGTATACATGTAAAGTTCAGCTGTTACAGACATACAAATAAAAAGACAAAACTAAAAGACATATTTATTTATAAGTGCACAAATGTCACTTTGTTTGGTCTAGAGTCTTATTAAAGCGGAAGAAGATAATCACATGATGGTTATATAATAATAAACTTACCTTTTTTCTTTGTTGTTATACGTTGTCGACGACGCCAACATATTAAAACGACTGATATTGTTAGTAACAGAAAGATGAGAGCACCGATACCAATCGATGAATAAATGATCACATTAAAAGCAGACGAAGACAAGAGAAGAGAAGTACTACTATTATTAATATTATCTAAATAAAAGAAGAAAAAAAAAACCCGAAATAATCAATGTGCAGACAATAGAATTATTTAAGTGTCGGACATGATGTGACTAGACGCCCGCCTCTTGTTATAATCAAATTGAATGAAATATTTCAAAATGAAAGATCAAGTGTATGGTCATCATCATCATCATCGACTTACTTGAACATAGATTTCCTTTACATGGTTGACTCTCAACTAAATAATCGAGACATGGTTCTTGTAAACATTGTCGTGTACGTATTGATGTACAATCCACTGATCGACAACTAGACCAATCAGTCCAATTTGAATACGTACCTTTAAATTAATACAACAAAAAAAAAAAGGAAATAAAAGAATTTTTACTTTTAAAAATTATCTTTAATTACCATATGATAATGGACGAACAGGAGAAAATAATGATGAAGTTTTATTTAAACACGGTACTAAACAATCACGTTCTTGTATTTGTTCACCATTACAAATCGATTGTTTTTCATCAATTATTGATGGTTTTAAACATGTTCTTATACGTTGTTGACGACCCATTTTACATGGAATTCCTGTACAATCTGTCCATGATGACCAATCAGAAAAAGTATTATCTTAAGAAGAGAATAAAAGAGGAATTTCGAACAAAAATAAAAATTTTATTTTTATTTTTTAAATCAATTAAACCTGTTAGAATAATAACACCTGAAGAAGATTGTGAATCTTTTACACATGCAACTTGACATTCTCGTTCTTGTATTTGATCACCATCACAACTAGGTCGATTTGTAATTGTTGGTGGATTAAGACATGTACGTAATCGTCGTTGACGACCAATACCACATGGTATACCTTTACATTCAGAAAATGGTTGCCATTCAGACCATCCACGATCATCTGTAAAATGAAATTATTATTTATTTTTATATTAAAAAATAAGATTTCAGTTGACTCTTATACCGTGAACAATAAGTTCAGCTGGTTCACTTGAATATGTTCCAGCTATATTTGATGCAACACATGTATAATTACCAGCATCATTTTGTTTTATTTGTGCAATAAGTAAAGAATTTTCACTTGATAATATAAATCTCCCATTACGATTTATTTCAACTGGTTGACCATCTTTTAACCATGTTATCTTAAACAAACAAACAAATTCTTTTTTCTTTTCTTTTCCTCTATCATCTTGTTAAGTATACATCATTTAAATTCTGTGCTTTTCACTTGTTTAAGTATGAATATGACAATGTAATGATTAGTTCATCGAATACTCTGTGCTTTACTTTTGTCTGAGTATATGTGGTAACAGCTGGCAACTAGATGAGATTCTAAGTGAACGAATACAACTGACAGGGATACCGCCCTTCGAGGTGTCGAGTATCTCAACATACTCTGTATATATATATATTCGTTGAATAATCGATCAAGTATACTCTGTTCTTAGAAGACGTGTTATAATAATGAACTGATGGTATTACGACAATATATATGAAAGCAAACTAACTGAATTAACCTCTATATGATGATGATGATCTGTTTATTTATATATAAATGATTATATAATATATCTTACTTTTGGATACGGATTACCGCTTGGTGGACGACAACGTAATTCAGCAGATTTACTAATTACACTATCTGTTCTTAATGGTTCCCATTCAAATATTTTGTCCAAATCTAGACAAAAACAAAAACAAAAATCATTAATACTTTTAAAGTTTGCTTGTTTTTCTTTCTGATTTGTATTTTTGATCTAATTAGAGGATAAGTTGTCTTTACTAATAAATTGCTACCAAAACAAATGTCAAGTTTTTTTTTTTTTATTGACTTAAATAATGATATGATATTAAACTTACAAGCTATTTCAATAGTTGCTGTTCGAGATTTTAATGTTCCACCTGTTGCAGACCATGCTTGACAAAAACATTTATATCCATTAGAATCAAGTTGACTATCAAGTTGTTCAGCTGATATATCAATTGATGTTATGATAGTAATCACACCTTTATCCTATATTAAATAGGTTTTTATTTTTTTGTTATATTATATTTTATAAATCAATCTAAACTTACATTTGTTTCAGTCGATTTTGTATGTTCATGTTCAGGTACCCATTTATTATCACAATTAAAAAATATTTGTCGAGTACGTATTGCTTTACATTCAAGTTTAACAGGACGATTTTCGATTATAAATGAAGATTTTGGTTCAAGAAGAAACTGTGGTTGTTCAACAAATGGTTGCATTTCATAGAAATAATCTCATCTAAAACAACTCACTTCAGACAGTGCCGTCTATATGTATGTACATACGCATGTATACGAATGCTGATGCTCGTTCCTCTGTTTCATTTTTTTTTTACAGAGAAAGAGAATAGAGAAAAAAAGACTACGACAACTCCTCCTCGCTCTCTCTTTTCCTTTACTGAATATCCAAATATCACAAAATGAGTGAACAATTGAGGATTAGACTATGTAATCTTTAATTCAAAAGAAATATACCTACCTGCTCAAGATATCGATCATATTACAGACTATACATACGGATGTCCGTGATCTATCATTGTCAGAAATATATACGTTAAAGATTATTGACTACGTGTCTGCTATTTTAGATGAGTGAATAATTAAGTCTAACTTCGAGAGATATTAACCAGAGATGCCATGCCAGTTGTGTTTACACGCTTGCTTGATTTCTTCTCACATTCTTTCTCCCCCTCTCGCTCTCGCTCTCTCTCTCTCGTTTGCCGACAACTTGTTAATCGACCTACGTATACGACGACTTCAAGGAACATTATTTTTTTCTCTCTTTTCTATTTCTATGATAACGATATCTTGATTAGATAGGTCAACTTTCAATGATTAGTTTTATAATAGGAAAAGTGAAAGGAGGGGAAATATGTATATGCGGCATTTTCCAAGACAAAAAAAAAATGTAACATCAAAGTGTCTAGTTCGAGTCAGATGAATGTTTTTAATTAAAAATAAAAATATGTTCAATTGTGTGCAAACATGAAATTTGATATAAAAAAAAAATATCTAGAAATGATGAACGATGGTATAAACACATTGACTATTGTGCTTATGATCTATTGTTGACAAATGAATAAAGAAAAAAAAAAGAAAGAAAATATAGATGCCTTATGACATCAATATTGTTATGTATGCAGGCATATGCCAGTCTGAATTGAATGTATGCTTACGCATACATTGCTTCCTTTATGCAAGGACGTTTTGGATCATCACACACACCCTTTTCTCTTTTTTTTCTCTCTTCTCCTACACATTCTTCTTCTTGGGGCTTTTTTTCTATATATAAGGATTCACCCCCTCACTTTCTTTGTTAACTCATCGACACTCTACTGATCGTCAATCATGAATGTACACGCAACATTATAGTCAGTGTATACGTGTGTATGTTCACATACTTACAAGGACAAATGAACAATTAACATGACGATAACGATAGATAGATGAACTTGCTTATTAGAATAATCGATGCTGACAACGCATGAACTCTTAGATAGACATAGATTTCCTTGAATAGACAGATACACGATGTTTTTTTTGGTTATATGTCAGTTAAAATAACAATACTATCGCAGCGGGTGTTCTTATTCATCATACAGACATACTTAAGTTTTTTGCTCTGTTCGATATCCGTTTTACTCTCATCTTTTTCCTCTTCATTTCCTCTTGCCGCACGCTCGTCTAAATAAAAAAGAAAAAATGTTCTGACCAAGCGAAACAAAATTGAGGTCTTCATTGTATTAATTTATCATCGAAATACACACTATATTTAACGATAATGGTGTTCGATGACACTGCGTCGTGACAAAAGAGAGAGAAAGATGTAAACGTGCACATGTACAAAATGTATGTATTTGTATATATGCAGTTTATTTCATTAGAAATACGAGTGAGAAAGAAAGAGACATCATTCTTTACCTAACCGTGAAATGTCGAGACTCTCTCACCGTGTATGTTCATATGAGTGTTAATCAGCTGGTTTCTATCCTCACCTGCATAGAAATAAAAGATGAAATCTCTCTCATTTTTTCTTCCTTTTGCAGACAAAAAAGAACTACGTGCTTCTTTTTTATCATCATGTGCGGCACGCGTGTCAATCAAACAAAAAACTTGAACACGCAAAAGCAATGCAAAGTCGATTCCATCTCGAGAGATGTGCTCGACGACTCATCAGGCACGATCATCTCTTATGTACTGTTCAAGTGTCTAGATATATGAGTGTGTGAGCTTCGATTACATCCCTATTTCTACATATCTATATATATAAAGAATAATAAAAAAAGACAATGTGGTACCAATGATATGATGAGACGAAGAGAAGTATTCACATAAAATAGATTAGTACAAAAAAAGACAGATTCATGTAATGTAAAACAGTCAACTATAGAAACATACACACACACACACACATATATACACTAAAAATGAATGAGCAATAGACATTTGAATGAGAACAGTAAATCAACTTGAACATGTGGTATTTGTTAAATCGATCTATCACATTAAATGCGTATCAATTCTCTCATAACGATCGAATAAGAATAAATACAAATATCCTCTAGCGTCAAACGTTTTATCACCTATTACAATCAGTGACTAACCTAATCGGAGAATGATGCTTACTTAAAGATGTATGTATTTGAAGTTTACATAAGACAATCCAACGACCTGTTGATTTTTATTCATATATCTATATATATAGATATATGTATAAAAAAAATACGCTAAAGAATAAAATGATAGATAAATGTATGAGTACAAAGCGTACACTTGTCTCTTTTCGTCTTCTTCTTTTTTCTCTCTCATTTACGTAATAACAATCAAATTTATAACAACTAGTATAAAAAAAAAAAAAAAAAGGGATATTAAATATTAAAGAAAAAAATTGATCAGTAGGTGACGAATTTTAGCGTTAATTTGTCTCTCATCGACATCGTTGCATCACTCACCTGTTTCACATATGACAAGATATCATACAATGATATGAGAAACCATTCAGCTGCTCAATATATATGTATATATGTATGTATAGTGAATAGCTAAAAAGAGAAATAAGATTATGTTCTTTACCACTTGACTTAGCAAACGCATAAGAGAAGAAAAAGACAAGAGACACGGTGCAGTTAATATTATGCATGCTAAGGAAGCAGCAACCGAGATCATTGTCTAATTGAATAGAGAAAAAGAGAGGGTCGATCGAGCCCCAGAGGGATGACACACCGCATGCACATAACAGCCGTTTGCTCGATGAGATCCAATTACATGAATACGGCAATTAACTAGCCTAAAAGTATGAGCCAACTTATACATATATGTATGTAATTCATCAGTTACAAATTTTTCTTATTTCTTATAGCTAACTAGACTATTTTGAAAAGAAGAAAAAATGTAGTGGGAATTGTGTCGTTGTCTAATAGGTCTCTATATTTATGTATATTTAGTTGTTGATGTTGGTTCCGTCGAGACATAACTTAGTGCTGAACAAATTTATGGAAAGAGGAAAAGATGCAGTAATGAATCGATGTACAACAGCAAATCATCATCATCATTAGTTCCATTTAGTCTTTTTCTTATATATGAAAGCTATAAGTAGCTTAGATGCGCCTCAGTGGGATGGGACGTGCTTCAGAATTGTTATTACTACCGATAAGAGTACTATATGAATGAACATTCACTCTCGTCTTAGTGATGTTTATGCAAGAAAACACTCGTCCAGACACAAAGTCAAAAAGATTAGTGTATTATATTATATATATATATATATATATGTGGCAATGCGATCCGATAGCGAAATACTTGACTATAAAAAGTCGTGTGTTTGAACAAAGGCCGATAGAAAGACTACAAAAAAAAAACAAAATGCGTTCAAGGGTAATTGACATTATTGAGTGTGTTTTGTTTTGATTTATCTCTTTATCTCAAATTCATATGTATTGATCGATCGCGTCCTATTCTATTTCACCTTTTGCTCAAGGCTCAATGGGTCAGTTGTATATGTATATGTATATATATATATTTGAAATGAACAGATGACGGGACTGTTCCTTTCACATATACACAATTATCACGAGTTCATAAACAGATAAAGAGTTTGACTGATGCTAACCGACGAAGCAACAATATTAATTTTCTCCCGCGTGTATATTTATCAGAAAAAAGAAAAAAACCTTTAAGCTTGACATTACCATGCTGCTTAGAGATTCTTCCGGTTGTTACTTATTCTCGCGTGCGTGCTATCTTCTGATTACTTTACCGTTGACTTTCATTCTTGTCTTTTCAAGTGAAATTGAATCTCGAGGTGGATGAATACAGTATACATATATGAATAAAAAAAATGAATGAATGAATGATGTAATCTGAGAATAGAAAAAGTAACAGCAAATCTTTTTTTCTAATTACATCATATGCTTGCTTTCTTTATAATGATGAACTGACTATAGTGCTTGGATGATTCAGGGACAATGCTCTTTTTCTTTCATTACTCGAAAGGTCACTAACACAAAAAAGATAATTGTATTGATGGAATCTTTCTCGCCTGACAATAATCTTTATTCCAAAAGATTGGATCAAAGAGGACTATCAGACATAATCTTTTTGATTCGTTACTAATCGATTAAAGTTTTTAGTGAATACTATGAGACAGAAGGCATAGGTTCATATGTTTAATTGTTGAACGAACAATTGATCATAATTTCCCCAAGCGAATATGTGTGTGTAAGTATACAAGTAGAAGAAGTTTAATTGCTTACTGTTATTAGTGCTTTTTCAATGATGAATTTTCACACCGGATAAAACATATACGCACATACACACTTACAAATTACTTTCGATTCAAGGCTGATCATTGTTGATCGATATGAAATTTAAAACGATAGACAAGTGTTCAATAGAACCAGGTGCAAAAGTAATCATACAAATCGATGAGGCTTCACTTACAAGGTCATTAACAAATATGATATGAATGAACGAATGAATGAATGAATGAATTAAATAGTCGTAGATTACTTATTCTTAAAATTAGCAAAACAACAACAAATGAAAGATGATGAGATAATCTTTCTTTTTCCGTATTCAGTTTCCGTCGCTGTCGCATTTGCATTGCGACATATATCTATGCATTAAGTTGCGTCAAGACGAAAGGAAATCAACTCATATTCTCAGCCTATTGATCACACTAAATAGTATGTCGTCAAGACGGAAGACATACTCTGATTGCT